AGGAAAGCCCATCAGAATTACAGCTGACTTGTCAGTGCAAACTATGAAATCCAGAAGAGCCTGGACCATGGTATTTCCAGTTCTACATGACAATACATGCCAGCCCAGAATACTATACCCAGCAAAAATGTCTATTATAGTTGAGGGAGAAAGAAAAATCTTCCATGACATGAATAGCCTGAAAGAAAACATGTCCACAAAACCAGCCTTTCAAGGAATACTTGAAGCAATGCAGAGAGCAGAGAGAGAAACAACTACACCCCAGGGGTAAGGAAAGAAAATAAATAAAGGTAGAATCTAGGAAACACAGAATTAGACACAGAACACAACAGCAATCAAAATGACAGCAACCAATACACACCTTTCAATAACAACCTTAAATATCAGTGGACTGAACTCCCCAGTCAAAAGACACAGGCTAAGTGAATGGATTAAGAAACAAAATCCTCTGCAAGAAACCCATCTCACCTTCAAGGACAGGCACTACCTTAAGGTAAAAGGATAGAAAAGAGTATTCCAAGAAAATGGCATTGAGAAACAAGCAGGGGTTGCAATTCTAATATCTGACAAAATAGACTTCAAAATAAAACTAATCAGAAGAGATAAGGAGGGTCACTTCTTTCTGATCAAAGGAACAGTTAACCAAGAAGATATTACAATCCTTAACATATATGCACCAAATTCTGGTGCAACCAAATCCATAAAAACAAGCCAGGCATGGTAGCACAGGCCTTTAATCCCAGCACTCGGGAGGCAGAGGCAGGCAGATCTCTGTGAGTTCCAGGCCAGCCTGGTCTCCATAGGGAATTCAGGCCAGCTGGGGCTACAAGGAGACCTTGTCTCAAAAAGACCAAAAAAAAAATTATACTATATATCAAGTGGACCTAAGAGACATCATTTGAATATTCCACCCAAGAACCAAAGAATACACTTTCTACTCAGCACCCCATGGAACTTTTTTCAAAAATTGACCACATACTGGGACACAAAACAAACATCAACAAATACCAAAAAATTGAAACAATTCCATGCATTCTATTGGACCACAAAACAATAAAGATCAAAATCAACACTGGATGAAGCCTTAGTCACTACACAAACTTGTGGCAATTGAACAACACACTCCTAAACAATGAGTGGGTCAAAGGAGCAATTAAGAAAGAAAGAAAAGACAAGAGTGAAAAGGACAGTACAACATAACACAATGGGACACATTAAAAGCAGTCCTAAGAGGGAAGTTTATAGCTCTAAGTGC